TTAACCCTTTCAGTGCTTGACTCACATTTTTGTAATTAAAAAATACCTAGTTAATTTTTAATATTTCTGACAAAATTGGCTACAGAACTGTGCAGGAAGACCTAGAAATTCCCAGAGAGATTATCTCTCAGGTTTAAAAAAAAGCAATTTCATTATTCATGGTTTTTCACTTTCACTAAAGCCCTGTGCCCCTAGCCCCATGAATGCAACTGCTGATTGTATTCATAATTCCTGGGATGGTCTGTCTTTCATCTCGTTCTTATTTAACCTCTAAATTATATTAATAGCTAAGATGCCCCCATTCTTTCTTGCATACAAGTAACTTGAAGTAGACTTTCTTGCAGAAGCTAGCAACAATTCAAATCTTTTTTTCTCTCCCCTCTTTTCCAGAAATAAGGAGGTCTGTGTTGTGGATAACATTAAAGTTTGTAGTAATGACGCTGGAACTGGGCAGTTCAAGTGTGTGTGCATCACCCTGAGAGTCCCTCGCAATCCAACCATCGGGGACAAGTTTGCCAGCCGTCACGGACAGAAGGGCATCTTGAGCCGGCTGTGGCCCGCCGAGGACATGCCGTTTACAGAAAGTGGAATGGTGCCAGACATCCTCTTCAACCCTCATGGCTTCCCATCCCGAATGACCATTGGCATGTTAATTGAGAGCATGGCAGGGAAGTCGGCATCTCTGCATGGGCTTTGTCACGATGCCACCCCTTTTACATTCTCTGAAGAGAACCCTGCTGTGGAATACTTTGGCAAGATGCTGAAGGCCGGAGGCTACAATTACTACGGGACAGAGAGAATGTACAGTGGCGTGTCAGGAGTGGAACTCGAAGCCGACATTTTTATTGGTGTGGTCTACTACCAGCGCCTGAGGCACATGGTCTCAGACAAGTTCCAAGTGAGGACAACAGGAGCCAGGGATAAAGTCACCAACCAGCCTGTTGGAGGCAGGAATGTGCAGGGCGGCATCCGCTTTGGAGAGATGGAACGGGACGCTTTGCTGGCTCACGGGACGTCCTTCCTGCTGCACGACCGCCTCTTCAACTGCTCCGATCGCTCAGTGGCCCATGTGTGCGTCCAGTGCGGGAGCCTGCTTTCGCCTCTGTTGAAGCCTCCGCCTGTGTGGTCTACCACACGCATCAGGCAGCACATTTGCACAATTTGTAAACGTAATGATACCGTTGAGACTGTTGCGGTCCCTTATGTCTTCCGTTGTTTTGTGGCAGAATTGGCTGCCATTAATGTCAAAGTGAAACTTGCTGTGAATTAGTTCTGGCCACCCAAACTATCCTTCACTCTTGGAGAGATGGAACAAGTATGTTTCTCCTGTGGAGGCTTTATAAAATAACAGGTGATTCATTCTGAATAGTAAAAATAACTGTCTTGATCTATTAAACAACTCTTTAGGAACAAGGTTGAGTTCAGTAGATTCCAAGGACACATGATATAATTAATGGAATCACTAGGTCAGTAGTTGGGACTTTGTACGAATGATTGAAAGCTGACCTTTTAAAAGCACATCTGCTTTGCCAATTGGAGAGTGATTATTTTTTCAAACTGCAAGCTTTCAGTGGCCGTAATTGATGTTTACAACAGTGGCACCAAAGTGACAAATTATAGGTCATGAGAAGACAATCTGAAATCTTTGCGATAAGGCATGCACCGTTATACTCCGACTACAAAACAGTTGTTTATTATGCATGTGATTCCTAAGCTACATACTAATGTTGGAGTAGGATAGCTTTGCTTTCATTCTCCCATTTGATAGGGGCTCCTTATTTTCTTCCAGTAGCTTCTTTGCAAGGATCTACCAGGAGACCCATCCTCTTTATTCATCTGTTGTCATCTCTGTGAGATCGCTCACAACATTATGTTCAGAAATTAAATTCCAACTGAAATTTTATTTTCTGTTAAATTCTGCGTTGTGTGTTTTCCTTTAATAAGATCTGATTGACACAGTGGTTTTGAGTGAAAAAACTGCTGAAATACTGCTGTGAGTCCCCACAAAAACCTTTTTTTACATTCTATGAGAAAAAGACAGTGTTTATGAGTGAGGGCTGAGATTTTAAACTACTGGTTGAGTGAGTGAGAGGGGTGGAAGGGGAAGGTGGGAGCATTTGCACAAAATTTGTTTGCTGAAGCAAGTTGGGGCTTACCTGTTTCAAATGTTTAAAGCAGTGGTTCCCAACCTTTTTTTTGTTTGACCGGGGACCACACTTCAACATTAGTGCCAAAAGGGTTATGAATCAGTTTTAGATTCAGTTTGGTTATTTGGGGTGCTGATTCAGAAAACTGCATTGGATAGACCACATCAGCTATAGTTTCTGATACAGAACATATCCCATCTCGTAGTTGCTAAGACGGTTTCATAGAATCATAGAGTAGGAAGAGACCTTGTGGGCCCTTCAGTCCAACCCCCTGCCAAGAAGCAGGAATATTGCATTCAAAGCACCCCCAATAGATGGCCATCCAGCCTCT